TATCAGTAGTCAAGCCTCCACTTTCATTTCTGATTTTATTTGAGTCTTTTCTCTTTTTTTCTTAGTGTAGCTAAAATTTTGTCAGTTTTTTTATCTTAAAAAAATTCTTTATTTCATTGAGCATTCCTATTTTCTTTGGAGTCTCCATTTCATTTATTACTGCTGTGATCTTCGTTATTTCCTTCTGCTAACTTTGGGCTTGGTTTATTCTGTCCTAAGGTGTAAAGTTAGGTTGTTTTTTGAGATCTTTCTTTTTTCTTAATGAAAGCATTTATGGCTGTCCATTTTCCTCTTAGAGCTGCTTTTGCTGCATCCCATAAGTTTTGATATGTTGTGTTTCCATTTCTATTTGTCTCAAGATATTTTTAGAATTTCCTTTTGATTTCTTCTTTGACTCATTGGTTATTCAGGAAGATGTTTTTTAGCCTCCACATATTTGTGAATTTTCTAGTTTTCCTTCTGCTTGTAATTTCTAGTCTCACACCATTTTGGTCAAAAAGCGTACATGATATAATTTCAGTCTTCATAAATTTGTTAAGACTTGTCCTGTGGCCAAACATATGATCTGTCCTGGAGAATTTTCCATGTGCACTTGAGTAGAATGTATATTCTGCTACTGTTTGATGACATATTCTGCATATTTCTGTTAGGTCTATCTAGTCTAACACATAGTTTAAGTCCAATGTTTCCTTATTGATTTTCTGACTGGATGATCTGTCCATTGTTGAAAGTGGGATATGAAGTTCCCTACTGTTACTGCTTTGCTGTTTATTTCTGCCTTCAGGTCTGTTAATATTTGCTTTATATATTTAGCTGCTTTTATGTGGGTGCATAAATTTTTACAATTGTTATATCCTCTTGATGAATTGACCCATTTATCATTATATAATGATCTCCTTTGGCTTTTGTTACAGGTTTTGGCTTAAAGTCTATAATATCTAATATAATTCTATCTATCCCTGCTTTCTTTTGGTTTCCATTTGCATGGAATATTGTCTTCCATAATTACACTTTCAATCTACCTGTGTCCTTGAAACTAAAGTGTGTCTCCTATAAGCAGCATATATAATAGTCTTTTTATTCTTTTTTATCTCTTCAGCCATTCTTTTTTTTTTTTCACTCTGTGACTTTTGATTGGGGAATTTAAGTCCACCTACAATTAAAGTAACCATTGATAGGTATGTATTTACTGTTGTCATTTTGGTAGTAAGTCTCCTGGCTCTTTTGTAGTTCCTTTTTTCCTTTCTTCCTCTCTTCCTCTTTTCCTCTGTGATTTGATCATTTCCTGTAGCTCTATGCTTAAGATTCCTTCTACTCCATCTTCTGTGTTTCTACCATAGGCTTTTGTTTTGTGGTTACCATGAGGCTTATATAAAACATCTTATATTTATACCATCTATTTTAAGCCAATAATGACTAACTCAAACTCATACAATAGCTCTATATTTCACACCCTCCACCACATTTTATGTTTTTGATGTCCCCAGTTTACAACTTTTTCTACTGTGTATCCATTAACAAGTTACTATAGTTATTTTTTACGCTTTTGTCTTTTAACCTTTATACATGAGTTATAAGTGATTTACCCATTACTGTTACAATATTAGAGTATTCTTAATTAACTATATATTTACCTTTACCCCAGTGAGTTTTATATTTTCATATAATTCCTATTACTTATTTGTATCCTTTCATTTCAGCTTAAAGAACTCCCTTTAACATTTCTTATAAAGCTGGTCTAGTGGTGATGAACTTCAATTTTTGCTTGTTTGGAAGACTCCATTTCTCTGCCAATTCTGAAGGACAACTTTTTTTGGTAGAGTACTCTTAGTTGGCAGTTTTTTTCCTTTCTATTAGCACCTTGAATATCTCATCCTATTCACTCTGGCCTGCAATGTTTCTGTTGAAAAATCTTCTCATTGTTTTATGGAGGGTCTTTTATAAGTAGTAAGTTGCTTTTCTCTTGCTGCTTTTAAGATTCTTTGTTTTCAACTTCTGATAGTTTAATTATAGTGTGTCTAAATAATAGTCTCCTTTGATTCATCTTATTTGTTATTTTGGGGCTTCCTGGATCTGGATGTCTATTTATTTCTACAGGGTAGGGAAGTTTTCAGCCATTATTTCTTTGAACAAGCTTTCTTCCCCTTTCTTTCTCTCTTCTTTTTCTGAGATTCCCATAATAGGAACATCAGTCCACTTGATGGTGTCCCATATGTTCTGTAAGCTATCTTCACTCTTTTTTCTTTTTGTTTTTTTACTGGATGAATTCCACTGCACTGTCTTCAAGTACATTGTTCCTTTCTTCTACTTGATCTAGTCTGTTGTTGAATCATTCTATTAAAATTTTCAGGTCAGTATTGTATTCTTCATCTCTCTGATTTGTATTTAGTACTTTTTATGCTTTCTATATCTGTTGTATTCCCATTTTGTTCATGTATTACTCTTGTAACTTCAATGAGCATTTCTATGACTGCTGTTTTGAGCTCGTTTAGGTAAATTAACTTACTGATGTTTCATTAAGATTGGTTTCTGGAGATTTATCTTGTTCTTTTGTTTGGAATGTATTTCCCTGTTTTTGTTTTTTTGTTTTTTTTTTTTCATTTTTCTTGACTCTCTTAGTTTCTGCACATTAGATAAAATAGCCACCTCATCCAGTCTTTTCAGAGTGGCTTATGTAGGACACAAACTGCATCAATAAGCCTAGCCCAGGCTCCTGGTTGTCTCTTAAATCTCTATGATTATACCTGACACTGTTTTTGTTCTTAGTGGTTCCCAGTAGTTGAGAGTATGCCCAGACCCATCAGTGTTTCCAAGGGAATGATCATAGTCAACACCTATATGTGGGGTTGATCTGGACCCAGACCCTCAGGCAGCAGCTAAGAAAGTACGCAGTTAAACTCCTTCTGGAGAGAAACTGGGAGATAGGCATTTTTGCCTGGTCTCTCTATGAGCTGTAAGGGGGTGCTCCTTTGCCCATTTAGAAACTGTTTATTTGCTATAATCATCTAGGATTTGTGAATACAAGCCTCATTGGCTATCATCTTGCTATAGCAAGGTGATTTGGCTGCCTAAACCTCAGATAGAGCTATAAAAGTGAGGACACTAGATGTGTGGACAAGCTCTTTCAAGGTAGATACTGGCAACTTGGTTTTGTTGTTGAAGTTAGCCAGAGAGAGATGGTGGAGGAAGTGCTCATTGGCTCTTTTGGGTCCTGGGGAGGATAATAGTCAGCAGCTAAATGGACTGATTAGAAGCCAGACCCTCATGCTATAGCTTATAAAGTACATAGTCACACCCCTTCCAGGGAAAGATGGGCATTTTTGCCTGCTGCCTCTCTGCTGAGCCCTGGGGGCCTAGCCGTGGCAAGTACTCATGGGTATACCTGTTGCTTCTTTGTCTGCTATAGTCCTGTGGGACTTGTAAATGCAAATCCAGTTGTCTATCAGAACCAGATGATCTGGGGACCTGTCTCTCAGGTGGCAGCAACAAAAGCTGGGTGCCAGACATGTGCAAGCTCCTTTCCAGAAGGATGTCGGTGACCTGTTTTTATTGTCAGAGTGAGCAAAAGGAAGAACGTGGGGGAAGTGCCCCCTGGCTCTTTTGGGTTCCAGAGAGGATCACAGCAGCTAGATGCATGCAGTTTCAACGTGGGTATTTTCTCAGTTGTCCAAATTCTAGCAGTTACTTGGCTAGTTTTTAGATTTCTCTCAGAGGAAATTGCTCTGTATGTAGCTTTGTGTGTACATTGGGTGTGTCCATGGGAGGAGGGAAATTCAGAAGGCTCCCATGTCACCATCTTGGTCAAAAGCTCTCAGCATTATGTTGAATTCAAAAACACAGTGAAGACAGTATTCTGTTTTACATCAATCAGGTAGAAGGATTAACTCATGAGCAGTCAGATGGAAGTAGTGCATGGGGCGAGACATGGGGAGATGTGTGGAGCTTGCATGCCCTCCCTGGGCACACTACTCTCCCAGCAACTCCACATCTTCCCTAACCCACAAGCTCTCTGTCATACAATCTTGGGGTTTTTTTGTTTTTGTTTTTCCTTTTTAATCAGATGTTTACTGACCTGGGAGATAAGTTTATCTTTTTTAGTTCTGTGAATTTCACTTTCTGTAAAACATTTCTCATTTCTGTAAAACATTTTTCACAGAATGTAAAAATGATTTTTTTAACCAACCAAAAAATCCAATACTTAGAGCTAAGCAAAAGTCTTAGCTGCTCATTTTCTTAGAAAAAAAAAATAGAAAATAAACAATGTCATTTAAAACAAAACTATGACTTCTCATCAGTGGCCATTAAACTATTTCAGTTCACATTTCATGTTAATAGTTTTATAGTTAATTCTGGCAGATTGACTCCTCAGAATATGATACATAGCACTGGAGATTCATTCATCCCTGTGTACTTCAAGGGGGCTTCAGAAATCTTTGCTTGGGGCCCTTTAAGCTGCCTTGCAACGTCCTTGAAGCAATACAACAAAGACAGAAATGCAAGCATTGTGAACCAGAGAAGAAAATTCCCATTAGTGCTGAAGGAATTTTTTTCAGCTAATTCTAAGTATCGAAGAGACATTCTCAGATCTTTTATAAGTGATGCTAGCTTTCCTGAATATGTTCCTTTCTTTCTCAGCATTTGTCAAATGTATTTGAACTTCAATCAGTCCACTTGGGCTACATTTTAAAAGTGGTTCATAGAAATTTAAGCAGGCAGTACCCATAAACATTAATGGACTTCCTAAGGCAAAATTCCCTCATACTGGGCTCAATATTAACCTCAGTATGAGATTAGATTTTACTAAATATTTAGAGAATACTGAATTGTTTAAAAATATCCCAAATACTATTTCAATAACAGAATTCCAATTAACTATATAAAGTTCAAGAGGCACAACTCCTAGATTTTAAGACTATATCTGTGGTTTGGTGAAGTTTCTCACCAGAATTGATTGATATATATTTATCAATGCATTTCTTCTGTTTCAATGGGGTTTATAGGCACAGCACTTGTTGTCCAGTGGGACCACGTGCATCTCCAGGATAATTACAACCTGGGAAGCTTCACATTCCAGGCAACCCTCCTCATGGATGGACGCATCATCTTTGGATACAAAGAAGTAAGTAATGTACTGATGATGTCCTTTCCCCTTGATCTTGACCTCTGTCTTTTTCTCCAAGTGTCAAGAAACGGACATTTTATGGTCATGAACCTCAAATCACTTTCTAATATCTTGGTTTCTTTTGCTTCATACAAATTTTTTTTTAATCTACTAGATAGCACTGATTGTTAATTCTTTGGATTTTGTTTTTTATTCTGATATCATTGGCATTATGATTGATGAATTTCATAGAATTATTGAACAATTATATCCTGATGGTATTATAATGAAATATCTCTAAGAAGAAACACTTCCAACTTGGAAGGACTACTCTCCTACATCTGATTATTTTTTGTTTCTTTTTGCCTTGTCAATTTCTGTGACATATTTTGATTCTAATTCCAAAAGTATGAGTATACATGAAAACTTGTGTGGCTCAGTGACCCAATACCAAGAGCATATCAGGACCCACAATCTCTTTGGCCAGTGTGTATTTCAACCTGATAGGCAAAATTAGTTAGAGTTCTAAGTGACAAAAAGAATAATGGAATTTAAACTTATAGTTTGTTTCATCTTACCAAATTCACAAAGTAAAGAATGGAAATTTACTAAATTATAGCCCTAAATTTACAGAATGTCTAAATTAGAATAATAGCATGATTAGTTTAAAAACTCTGTTGACAATATAATCACAGTCTATTAGACAACCTAAACTTTTTGGGAAGGAAACAAATATAAGAATAAAATTCCAGGAACAGTAGATGTGATATTTTAGGCAGTCACTAGGCATGAGAGAAATTTTGACAATGTGAATTGATGATGGGCATTATTAACCCATGGGTTAATGGGTATTTGTAATAATACAGGCTCAGTATCTCATTTGAAGGGTTATTTTTTGTTAGCAAATGAATCTTTGACTATTAAAAGGTTGTTGACAATTTAAAAATGATTCACTTTGGTCAAGTCTTCTGAGATACAACTTTTCTATAAAGTGAGGGATAGTTTTATTTCAATTAACTAGGTCAGCTTTTAGAAATCTTATAATTTTAAATATTTCCACTCCTGGGCGCCTGGGTGGCTCATTTGGTTAAGCGACTGCCTTCGGCTCAGGTCATGATCCTGGAGTCCCGGGATCGAGTCCCACATCGGGCTCCCTGCTCGGCGGGGAGTCTGCTTCTCCCTCTGACCCTCTTCCCTCTCGTGCTCTCTATCTCTCATTCTCTCTCTCTCAAATAAATAAATTTAAAAAAATAAAAATAAAAATAAATAAATAAATATTTCCACTCCTTTGAAGAATTCTCCCATGTGGAATTAATCATTTACTTGGGGCAATGATATAAATAAAATATAATATAGAATCTGGTCTGCTTGGTGCTTCTTTAGCCACAGCTAAGTTTTGATATCATAGCCCATCGTATTCTTGTATCACCGTACTTGCAAGCTGGGAGAATATATCTGAAAGGCACTCATTCATTTTTAGTCTTCATAATAATCTAGTATAATCCTGACCCTGCAGAATATCATTATAGAATGTTAATTTTCAACTATTTTAACCAGCAGTGGTAAGGTTTCTGGAAAGATGTAGGGTCAGTAAGTCTGGGGTCTTAAATCTCACTAACTGTAGGCTTTTCAAAACAGAAGTTTGTTGTTGTTTTTTTTATTGTGGTCTCTCTTTCTAGTCTATATTATAAAAATCATCATCTTTATGCATACTGTTCTCAATGGGCGTCTCACATTGCGGAGTAGCAGTTAATTTTTCCTATTCCTTCTTTGTAGTAGATTTGGTATTTTTTAAATTTTGTTTCTTTATTGTAATCAAAGAAAAATTTTCCACTATGATTTTCCTGTTTTGTCATGGGGAATATTAGACTGATAGACAATTTCAACACTTTCTTTATATTTCCAGACTATTATCCTATTGAACACTAGCCCTTCTGAACTCAGAGTTCTAAGGAAGTCATTACTTTATTATTGGCCTTATTGGCCTTTCTCTGTTCTGGTTAGAAAGCAGCTTTTTATTTCATATTCTACCTTAATTTATTTCCAATAATTGTCATGTATTTTATTTCGCTGATACAAATTTCTGTTTGTAAAATTTGCCACAGTAAGGGTTCCCTTGCATTTGAGGAGAAAGCTAGATGCTTCTGACACTTCTAGAAAAAAAATTTATGATCACAATAGCATAAAATAGTTAGTTGTTTGCATAATGTATTATCCTTAACAAAGTGCTTTCACATACAGTATAGTTTTCTATTCTTCAGTGATATCCTATATTCTTAATATCCCTAAAGGTACTGGCACATGAAGGTAGCTTAATTATGGAATTAGATCATATCACAATTATCTTTATTTTATAGCTAAGCAGACTGCATCAGAAAGGTTAAATGACATACTTGAGGTCACAGAGCTAGTTAAGGACAAATCCAGGACTAAAGGCTCTCATTTGGTGATGCCAAGGTACTTCAACATTATTTTTTTCTTTCCCAAGGAGATTATGTATAACAATTCACAAATATATTTCTCATTTGTTTTTTAATAAATATCGGCTAATGTTTGGTGTTTAATAATCTTTTTATCTAACGCCAGTATATGACACAATCACAATCTCATACAATACCTAGAAGTATTCTTAGTTGAGTTATAGAGCTAGCGAAATCATAAGGACATAATAAAGAGTATAATTTTGTGTTCTTGTCCAGGTTAAATTTACAGAACCAACATTATAGATAGGGAACTAAGTATAATTCTTTCCATACTAAGTTGCTTCTAGCTGGCTAATGCCAGCTTTGTTTTATTTTATTTTATTTTATGTGAGTGAGAAAAAAAAATCTGATGTATGCAGAAACTACCAATAGAGCACTTGGTTTAATTGTACAGTAAAATTAGTAATGCATTGAATAAACTTATTGACACAAGTTTCATTTTTATTTCCCTCAACTGATTTATTCCAGTAGATAATTATGTTTCTTTTAGTAACTCGGTCTGTGCCAACTGCCCATACTAACGACTCAGATGACCTTCAACTCTGCCATGTTCCTCATATAGAAATTTCTCCAACAGTATAATTTTTCACAGTGCAAACTAGATCAATAATGGTCAAAATTAGAACATACATTTGCACTTATAACAATTTTGCTCATAATAGGATTGAGATAGGAGAGTACTTCTACTGTTTAAAATAAGAGTGAATACAGATTTATTCGGGGCATTCAGTGTTCCCTTATCAAAATCCCAATGTTCTTCTAGCCATACTGGTGAGAGGAGTAGTGGAGGCTCAGATTCCTTCAAATAAATAAGTTATCTCTCCTGAGGTTGTATCTCTGTATTATTGAACCAAAGATTTAAAATTCTGTTTTAAGTTATAGTTCCCCATTGTTACACAGCTGTTTATTTTAGTTCACTTCAAAGATACCATTTACTTAGGATGAAGAGAAAGCCCAAAAAGCATATTGTCATTTTCTTAATTTTCTGTCAGATTACCAACTGTTCACTTTAATGCGTTTTCCAGTGTCAGAGAATCCATTTGTGTCTTGTGCATAGCTTTAATTACCTTATAAAATTAACCATCTTGCCCTCTATTTCCTTAATATATTAATAACAGTTCCTTTAAAGTTTATGGCTGATAACTAATATCTAGATTCCCTGTGGGTCTATCATGTCTTTTTTTTTTCTTTTCCTCTAGATTTTCATTTATTGGTCCTGTTTCCTTGCATGCCAGATACTTTTTGATCAAATATTAGGCATTGTTTACAAACTGCTAAAAAGATACTTTGAGGTTGTGGATGATGTTTTCTTCCTCCCAGTGAGGGTTTACTTTTTCTGTTTGGCAGGTAGGATGGAACAGATTACTTTAATACTGTCAGGGCTAAGCTCATTCAAAGTTGAGCATCAGTCCTTATAAAGACTGGCGTATTTCTGGTTAGTACTTGCTCTTAGAAAGTAGTCCTTCAGGAATCTCCACCCAGGCCTGGGTTTTACTACAGGACCTTTTGCCTTAATGTCCCTGAACCCCTATGTTTTCCTCAGCTTTGTGAGACTCTCTGAAGTTCTGTTCAGTTTCTCAGTCTCTAAATCTTGCTTGTAAATTGCCAAATGCCTTGATAGGAAAGTGGTATTGCATTCACTTCTGTGATTTCCTTTCTCTGGACTCTTGGCTTTTCAAGTCTTTGCTCTTTGATAGCCACCTGATGCCTTCAACAGGTGCTTTCCATATGTTATTTATCTTTCCTGCTTGATCTCAGTAGGAGAAATGGTTTTACAAGTTTGTCTGCCATAGCCAGAAGTCCCCATTCACTTTTAATAACCATCTCCTAATTTGATACAATCTAGCATTTACTGAGCTCTCCATATATGCCAGGCAGTGACCTAAGTGCTTAAAATTTATCTCATATAATTCTCACCAAAAAAAGAGGTAGGGCGCCTGGGTGGCTCAGTTGGTTAGGCGACTGCCTTCGGCTCAGGTCATGATCCTGGAGTCCCGGGATCAAGTCCCGCATCGGGCTCCCTGCGCAGGGAGTCTGCTTCTCCCTCTGACCCTCTTCCCTCTCGTGCTCTCTCTCTCTCATTCTCTCTCTCTCAAATAAATAAATAAAATCTTTAAAAAAAAAAAGAGGTAGTTGCGTTTATCATTTATGGAGAGGGGAAACTGAAACACCCAGAGAGGTTCAGTAACTTTCTCAAAATTATTAAACAAAGATTCATCCAAGGGAATATAACTCCAAAGCCTGTAGACCTAATCACTGTACTGTAATGCCTCTCTCCAAACTTCCTTTTCAAGAAATAACTAAACTGGGGGCACCTGGATGGTACAGTCAGGTAAGCTTCTGACTGGGTTTCTGCTCAGGTTGTGATCTCTGGGTCCTGATCTCAGGGTCATGAGACTGAGCCCCCTGTCGAGCCCTGTATCAGGCACCATGCTCAGCAAGAAGTCTGCTTAAATTTCTTCTTCCTCTCCCTTTACCCCTCCTCCCCTGCTCTCATGTACTCTCTCTCTCTCTAAAATAAATAAATCTTAAAAA